CCAGAGCAATGGAAACTATGCGGTTTAAGCCTCTGTCCCTCCACCTGATTTATGGTAGTGTTCACAGTAGCCACAAAGTGGGCATTCCCATCTCCTTAAAACTGTATGACTATCTGTTTAGTCCATACAGCCAAGTGTACCCTACACATATCGATTTATATTTAACACATTTTAAAAGGACAAAAAAGCTTCATTTTTGTAGTTAATGACTGCCTCCGTAAGTCATGTGGTGAGTGGGACAAAAGTTGTAAACACATAGTAATAATGTGATGTATTTATTACTTTTGATTAGTTATTGTAAGAGGGAACAAAATTAAAGGATAGATTTGCAGTAGAGAGTAAGCCCTGCACAAACAAGCTCAGGACAATTAGGTGTTGATGTTACACTCCCAGGCCAGGAACAGTTTTAAGACTGGAATTTTATTAAACTTAGTATCAAAACAAACAAACAGTTTGCACAAGGCCCATTGCTGCTAAGTTCTTCCGGAGTATACACAGCTTTTCTTCTTCAACCCCCTCAGCAGACCTTCAATCCTTAAAGGGACAGGACACAGGTAAATTTAACCCTGACATTCCCCTTTGAGTGCTACTCTCCCCACTCATACCTGTAATGTTATCCCAACATTCCTATTTACAAAATATAACATACAGCCCATTAATTTGACTTATTAGCAGTAGTCCATGAGTTCCACAAGTTCATCACTGTATGCAGTGTTGTTATAGCCATGTTGGTCCCAGGATATCAGAGAGATACGGTAGGTGGGTAATATCTTTTATTGGATCAACTTCTGTTGGTGAGAGACAAGCTTTTGAGCTTACACACAGAAGAAGAGCTTTGTGTAAGCTTCTCTCTCTTACCAACAGAAGTTAGTCCAATAAAAGATATTACCTCACCCGCCCTTGTCTCTCTAAGCTCATAATTGTCATTCTCAACTGAGTGTTAGGTCGCTCCTCTTTCATGAATTCAGGTGCTTATGGTGGAAACTTCTGCATCTCTCTTCTGTTTATTCCACATTAAGTAGAAAGTTTCTGCAGCAATTGGAGGTCTGCTATCCAACAGAACAGCCAGTTCTGAACAGCTTAAATTACCAAAGATATTCCTATTTTATGGAAATAACAGTTCCTATATGATCAATGGGATAACCATGTAACTCCAAGTCACTGGGCACATGGCAAGCTATTTAGAAAAGCATCTACTAAATTAACATAACAACAAACTATCCAGAACTATAAAACACTTAATTTAGAACAATAGCCATAACATAAGTCACTATTACAAATATTGCATCAGCCTTGGATAGAATGTAGGATAAGGTATAGGAGTAGGCACTTGGAATGGCATCTGACAAACATGAGGACAACCCCAGGGTGCATTCACCAATCCAGTAGTTGGTTTTAGACATTGCTAAGTCATATGTCAGTGTCTGTGGGGCAGTTCTCTCTCTAGTTGGACAATTTCATGTGTCAGTGGATTGTTCTGGTGATCTGTCTTCTTGTGCCTTACTTGTTTCAGGGTCCATAGGTATGGTTTGGGCTTCACGTCTTTCAGTGACTGATGGAAATGTCACATCAGTCTCATCAGCAGTTTTCACATTGACAGGATCAATAACATTCTCATTTACCCGACATGGATAAAATGCTTCTGCCTCTGCAGTCACAGCCTCTGTGCCATGGGCAGCAGCTGGTAGGTACCGTCACATAATGGGATTCATTTTCATTCTCACTATCAGAATCATGGAGTCCAAATTCTTGTCCTTATTTTGATCTCTTATTGCATTAGTTTGCCTTATTCTCTGTGTCTTCTGCTGTGGTGGCTTAGAGGGTGGTGTTATGTCCACGGGTAAGAAGCCCACAGGGAAGTAAAAGATTACAGTGAAGAACTCTAATTCCTCCTTTTCCACCTTCTGCGTTTACTTCATAGACTAGACTATCCCCTTTCCTTTCAAAGAACCACATGAATTTTATCTTCCCAGCAGGATTTTAATTTCCCCTCTTTCTGAAAGATTCCTGACAAGTACTCTGTCACCTGGCAAGGGGGCAGTGCCAGGCCTTTCCTGATGATCATAATGATTCTTTCCATGAGCAGCAGATTTTTTTGAACATTTTGATGCCAGTTCATAAGATTCTTTCATCTGTTGTTTCCATTTCTCAACATAATCTTTCTAGTCCTCCGGCGCAGATTCAGAGTTTATAGGTAGACCAAACGTGATGTCAATGAGCAAACATGGTGATCATCCATACAATTAATAGAATGCTAAGACCCCTGTAGCCTCATTTCTGGTAAAGTGATAGGCATAAATTACCTTACTAAGAGAATCCTTTCAGTTTGACTTTTTTTTCTCTGGCAAGGTTCTCAACATGGCCAGCAGAGTTTGGTTCAACCTTTCTACCTGCCCACTACCCTGGGGTTGTATAAGGTGTTTCAATATTACAGTAGTTCTATAACCTTCTGAATAAATTATTTCAAACTCTGCCTCTAGGTCATGATGACTCCTTTTAAAACTAAGTCACTGAAGATCTTGTTTGCCACAGTCCTTCCTGGCTTGTTAGCGGTGGCAGGGTAGGCTTGAACAAACCTCATGACGTGATCCACTATGATTAAGATGTAGTCTTATCCTCCTTTGCTTCTCTCTGGATGCAAGAGGCCTATTGATCCAAGCTCAAATCATCCTGTTGTAACTGTGTTAGTTGGTGGAACTCTGGCGAAGTTTCCGTTTGCTCTTTTGCTGTAGCAATAAGGTGTAAAATCTTATCTTTTAATGCAAGCAACGTAGACAATCCCTGATCTTCCAACACTTCCTGCCCATTTAAGTGGCATCTTATATATTTGATTAAAGCAAAATGGCTTTTTGCTACAGTTTCACTGCAATTTGTTCCCAGAAATGCCCAGAGAGTCACAGATTTCTCTTAAATGCTCATCCTTTAGCTGGTATAAAAGTCCTCCTACCTCCATGTGTAGGTCCTCTAAGTCCATGGTTTTCAACCTTTTTTCATTTGCGGACCCCTAAACAATTTAAAATGGAGGTGCAGACCCCTTGGAAATCTTAGACACAGTCTGCAGACCCCCGTGGACCCCCGGTTGAAAACCACAGTTCTATGGTAACAACAATCTTCCGCGGACCCCTTAGACATAGAGTGGGGACCAACAGTGATCCGCAGACCACAGGTTGAAAACCACTGCTCCAAGTCTCTCCCAGCCATAGGGCTTGCAAACAATTACATTTCCCCTGGCAGCTTTTCCTGGAACAGTGTACTCCTGTTCTTTTAGCAGCTTCTAGGTCGGTTCCTCTGTCAGGGAGGTCAGCCCATTGCAATTCAGCCTCTTCTGCTTGTGCTCACCAAATACTACAATCCCAGACTAGGGGCAGTTTTAAAATTGGAGTTTTATTAAGCAGTATTACATGCACAAGCCTCATTGCGGCTCAGTCCCTCCAGAGCGCACACACCTCTGCTGCTGCAACAAGAGCTGTCTCCTTTTGATCCCCTCAGCTCAGCAGACCTTCAAGCCTTAAAGGGACAGGAGACAGGTAAATCTAACCCTGACATTCCCCTTCGAGTGCTACATTGGGTGTGCCCTCATGCAAGGCAGGAGATGAGAGACGATCCGGAGGTGTGAGGCGATTTGGTACCTGTAATTAGACCAAGAAGCATGGTATAGAAAATGCTGAAGAAAAGGGTTTGAGCCTGACCATCAACCTGGATCCAAACATCCCCAGACTTTGGGAAAGCTCAGGTCGGGATCCCATCTTGCACCTCGGGGTTTTCTTTAGAGGTCTCCCATCTAAACACTGACTAAGCGCCAGCCCTGTTTACTTTGTGGGGTCTGACAAGAGGCCAGCCCCAGGCGTCACTAGGGCTTGCTAAAGATAGCAACGAGACCTTTCACTTTAAGGCTCTATTTCCAAAAATTCCTGCCTGGGTTACCGAGAGACCACTAAAACAACAAGGAGTCCGGTGGCACCTTAAAGACTAACCCATTTATTTGGGCATAAGCCCAACGAAAGCTTAGGCCCAAATAAATGTTAGTCTTTAAGGTGCCACCGGACTCCTTGTTGTTTTTGTGGCTACAGACTAACACAGCTACTCCCTGATGAGAAACCACTGAACACACAACACATGCAGGTGCCCAAGCAAAACAGGGCCTTGCCCTGGGGGGGGGGGGCAGGCAGGAAGGGGTGAGTAGAGGGCAAGGGGAGGGAGCAGGAGGCAGGTTGGAGAACAAGGCAGCTTGGTGGCGGGGGCAGCATGGAGGCTAGACACCCAGAGGGGCGCGGAGAAGGGGCTCTGCACTGGGGGAGGGGGGGGGGCGCGGAGAAGGGGCTCTGCACTGGGGGCGCGGAGAAGGGGCTCTGCACTGGGGGCGCAGAGCGAGCTGAGGGATGCGATATGGGCAGGGAGCGGGGGTTGCGCCAGGAGCTGCCTTAAAGCCGCACGCTCCCCTAGCGCCGAGTCCCGGCTCGCCCCTGGGCCGGTGCCGCTTTAAGGCGGCGCCCGTCCGTGGGAAGAGGAACTGGGGCGAACACTGCCGGGTTGGGCGGCGGGCTGCCGCAGGGCCCAGGGCAATAGCCAGGCTCGCTGCTTGCCCGCCCGGCTGCCTTGGGACGGGGCGAGGGGCTGGGCAGCAAAGGGCTCTTTGCAAGGCGCGCTCCCGTGCCCCAGCTGTGCCCCCCCCTCCCCGCCGCCGCGGGCCAGATGTGCCCCGCGCTGCGCTCCCGTGCCCCAGCTGTGCCCCGCGCTGCGGAGGCAGGGGCAGCCCGGCCCCTCCTCTTAGCGGCTTGTTGGCCGCAGAGGGCGGCATTTATTCTGCGCCAGGATCATCCGCCGCTAGAGCCCGGGGGTGGCCTGGGCTCCCCCTCGGTAGCATTGGGGCGGCGGGAGATGGAGCCGCGCGGCTTGCCTGGGAGCGGGGTGCTTGGGACCTAGGTTCAGCTATGCCCGTCATGATATCCCCTTGATCCGCCCCCCCCCCCCCCCCCCCCCCCCCCCCCCCCAGCTCAGCCATGATTTTACTAAGCAGCTTTTTGCACCGGCACCGCGGCCCCTTCACAGCGCTGGGGCTGGGCAGGGCGCCCTGCTCGGGAGCCCGGGCGTGCAGTGCCATGGGCAGGCCCCTGCGCGTCTTGGTGGACATGGACGGGGTGCTGGCCGACTTCGAAGGCGGATTCTTAAAGAAGTTCAGGGCCAGGTTCCCAGAGAAGCCGCACATTGCCCTGGAGGATCGCAGGGGCTTCTGGGTGTCGGAGCAGTACGGCCAGCTGACCCCTGAGCTGAGTGTGAGTCAATGGATTCTCTCCCCCCCCCCCATTATATTGTTATTCTTCATGATTTGTCTGACACACAGACTGTAAACTCCCCTGGGCAGGGGTGGTTGTCTTTATTTGTCTGGGCATCATCTAACCTAGTGGGGCCCTGATCCTTGGTCGGGGTTCCTACAGGCTACAATAATAAGAAGAATGATTAATCATAATTTATATATTGGGTTTTCCGTGTTGATTTTTTCCCCTCCTGAAATTAAGTGGATTTTAGTGCAGATTCTTGCTGCAGGCTGTCTTTCTATTTTGATCACTTCAAACAATTTATTTCAAAATTCCAAAGTAGTATAGTCCAGATTTTCCTCCCCAGTTATAATTTCCAGTTGAGAACATGCTGTATGGCTTAATGCAAATGCTGCAACATTGCATTCAACAGTTGCCTTCATCTCTAGCTGTATTGTTTAGCTTCTCAGCAACAACACTCTGACCATGATGCAGCAGATTAGTTGAAAGCAAACCAAAGCAACTGACATTTCAAAATAGCTGAAATCATTTCCTTTCAGGGCTTATTTAAAACAACAACCTTAAAACCCTTCTGAAAAATGATGTTGGGTTGTTTAAAACTTTTACCAGTTAAAACCTAAAGCCAGGACACTCTCTTTATATTGTTCTTTAGCCAGTATCCGTGCATTTGGTTCTGCAGAAACTAGGGCTCTGCCCCAGAGAGTTTACAATCTCACGTGGGAGTTGACAGTTTAATTCAGAGATCGCGTTTGCACGTGACAAAATGTGTTTGAAACAAAGAAAAGGCTTCATGTCTCTGATGGCACAAATGGGTACAGTGTGGTGAACAAATGTAGGCCCGAAATGGTCCTTACTCAGGTGAAACCCTCATTGCCTTAAAGGCGGACAGAGCAGGGCTGCAGAGGGTGGTGTCTGGTCTGTATAGCTGGAAGGAAAGCCACCTGGAATTGGTGGGATACAGGGAAGCCCCTCTGTTATGAGAAGGCTGATGCTAAGTGTATGAAACATCTCAGAAAAGATATATTAGAATTGGAAAAGGTGCAGAGAAGGGCAGCAAAAATAATGGGGGATGGAACAGCTTTCGTATGAAAGATTAAAAAGACTGGGACTGTTCAGTTTAGCAAAGAGACAGCCCGGGGCGGATATGATCGATAGAGGTCTATAAAATCATGAATAGTGTGGAGAAAGTGAACAGGGAATTATTTACCCGCTTCACATAACACAAGAACCAAGGGTCATCCGATGAAATTAACAGGCAGCAGGTTTAAAACAAACACAAGAAAGTACTTCTTCACACAACGCACCATCAACCTGTGGAACTCATTGCCAGGGGGTGTTGTGAAGGCCAACAGCATAACTGGGTTGAAAAAAGAATTAGATACGTTCATGGAGGATAGGTCCTTCAATGGCTATTAGCCAAGATGGTCAGGGATACAACCCCATGCTCTGGGTGTCCCTAAACCTCCAAATGCCAGTAGCTGAGGCTGGACAACAGGGGGATGGATCACTCGAAATTGCCCTGTTCTGTTCATTCCCTCTGAAGCCTGTGGCATGGCCAGAGTCAGGATACAGAACTAGATGGACCTTTGGTCTGACCCAGTGTTGCTGTTCTTATGTTCTTATGATAGTGTGATTTCAGCAATGGTTGTCCACTACCATGTGTTCCCAAGAACTTGGGTGTATGGGGTGTTCATGGTGTTGGGTTATCTCATTGTATCCATCACATTAACAGACATCACTCCTGTTAAAACCCACACACTCTTGGGGTGAAATCCTGGACGTTATTGGTAAAACTTCAGTGGGGCCATGATTTCCTCCTGGGTTCCAGACAGTGCCCAGTTAATATTGGAGAAAGGGAGTCAGGCTGTTTCTGTATGGTATTTGGGCAACAGCACTCGGGATGTTACGCTCCATTTGGGACCACATCAACAGGACGATATTGACAAATTGGAGGGAGCTCAGAGAAGAGCAACCGAAGTGATCAGAGAGCTGAGAGGGGATCAGCTTTGGAGGGAAGAGTAAAAGTGCTAAATGCCCATAGCCTGATAGCCTACAGAGTTTGGAAGGGTGTTAATTCCTGGGGGAAGGGGTGATTCTATACAGTTCCTGGGGATAAATAAGATCAAATAAGAAAAGGAAAATGTTGGGTGAAGATCAGGAAGCGCTATTAAACCAGGAAAAAGTCTCCCCAGGGAAGTGGTAGAATCTCCAGCCCTTGGACTTTTAAACCTCAACCGATCAGAAGAGCACTGAGCACAGGAACAATCCTGACCTGGCATGAGATGATCTGGCAGGTGTTTTTCCTCACTAAAGGCTTTGCTCTGCTCCCATTGAACATAGTGGCAAACCTCCTATTGACTTTGGGAGCAGAGCCGGCTCCTGCATCCCCAGTACAGCAAAGCACTTAAGCACATGAAAAGGTTAAGCACGTGTGCAAATGCTTTGCTGAACCGGTGCCGGTCTTCTCGGATGTCAGCTGTAGAACGATGATTTATAGCTTTTAAATGTTCCCCCCACTGGTATAATGCACTGTAGTTTGAGTTGTGATGTACATTATTTTAGCTTAATAACCTGTTACAGTATCTGCTCTTTTCACATGGACAGGGGGATTCTCGGCAGGCTGCATTGCAGCCCTATGAGTTGCCTTCACTTTTTATTTTTTTAACATGCACTAAGATGTGTAAGAAGGATTGTTTCCAAACCACTGGTGCTACTTGAGTCTTCTGCTGCCCTTCAGCTCCCCTGGAGCAGCGGAGTGATGGGATTTCTGTTTTGCTCCCTCCCGCCCTTTTAAGTGGGTGTATTCGGCCCTCCCACATTCAGCGTGACTTATCTGACAGGTGGATGGACTTTGCTTTGGTGCTCTCCAGCACTGAGCAATTAATGCTTAGGGCCAGACTGTGGCCCAACTGTGCAAGGGGGTATAGAAGACTTAAGGCTCCTCTGTACTCCCGTGCACTAGAGACCTAGATCGCAGGTAGCAGTGCTGGAAGCCGGACCGTTACATCCCCCATGCAAGAGGGTGGGAGTGGACAGAGTGGTGAGGAGGCAAACCCTTGGCTCTGCCACCACCCAATGCACAGGCTGGGATAGCTAGGTATAGGCCTGACACATGGTACTTCTCCCTGAGAGCAAAGGGGAATCTGGAAGGCAAAATATGACTCCCAGATTCACACCTTGCCTTCTGATCTGCTCCAGGGGAAGCAGAACAGCCTGGTGCTTGGAGTTCATGACAAAGCCACAACCGAATCCTTAAGCAGAACTCAACCTTCTCTTGCTCCTGTCCTGTTAAGCCAATTGCTTATGGGTGAGACCTCCAGAATGTCCCATTTCTCCCCTCCACCAAAGGATCCACATCCAGGCAAAACAATTCTGTGACTGTATAGATTCATGGTCATCAGTGAGGATGAACCAGGGGTGTGGCTGGCATGCACTGCAGTATTCTCTGCTTCCCACAGCCTATAGGTCAGGGCAAGTAGAGTGTGAGAGCAGCCCTAAGGCTGCTCTAGCTTACATGGAGAACCGGGCACCCCTGGACAACCCCAAAGTACTCCAGAGCACAAAAGTGGCTTAAAGCTACCTTTGCCCCTCTGATTCTGCCCAAAGCAAAGAAGCAAAGGCCCTCTGTGTCCTCACAAATCCTTAATTGCACAGCTACCTTCAGAATCTTTCAAGGCTGCTTCTGGGTTGGTCCAGTTGGGTGTCCACACAGTTTCACAACTGCTTCCTCCGGCTGGGGCTGAGTGTGCTGCCATTGCCCAAGGAGCTCAGTGCTCAAGCTGGGATCTCTATGCACAGACCATCACAATGTTCTTTTTAATCAGGGGAAGTGGGATTTTTCTTTAATTTAGGCCTGGCTCGCATGTTTCTTGCCCCTTGCCTGGATCAGTAGCTCGGGAACAGATGTGATTCTGTGATCTTCAATCAGTGTGGTGCAAACCTCTTCCTCTGAATAGTTGATCAGATCCAGGGGGGCTGGCTGTGGGGTCTGAAAGAAGCAACCCCACAGCAACGACAAGCTAGATGTGCAGACACACACTCCTTCCACCTTTTTGTTTTTGAGCATGAGACCCCAAAAGACTGCTTTCCTTAACAATCTAGCAATTTATGGCAGTGCAAGGACTTACAGGTGCACAGAGTATGCCCTGCTCTCTAGATCCAGCTACAAGGTGTAAATTACAGGCAGCTCCCGGTCTCCCTTGTCCCAGGATTCTGCTCCAGGCGGTCTGTATACATGTTGCCTTTTTTCCCTGGCAGCGTTATAACGAAGTGCTCAAGCCCTTGCCCTCAGGGACTCTGGCTCATGCTGAATTTGCCTTGCTCAGGAACTCACTTGACTGGTATTTTTTAGAGGGACCCTTGAGGTTAGAGGGGCAGCTTGCCTTCCATAGCACCTTGCCCCAATTGGGGCATTTTGGTTACTACCTTAGATTCTTTCCTGGAGACAAAATGTCCCCATAGCACCCCGTGCTGAACAACACTGTAGTACAGCAGATTTGGGAAGCTAATCTGCTTCAGATGGACCTACGTCATGAGAGTCAGATCCAGGGTTTGGGAGAATTCAAGTTTTGGTTCAGGACCCTCTCTCACACCTGCTGTCAGACCCAGGCAGCCTCTCGAACACCTACCATCTTCTTTCCAGGGGAAGGGTTGTCAGAGGGAAAAAATGCACATGGCAACTCAGGGCAGGGAGGAGAGGAGCAGGATGGGCTGTACAGTAACTGGGATGTTTGCCCTTGCAGGAGAAAGCAATCAGCATATGGGAGTCAAAGAATTTCTTCATTGAGCTGGATCCAATCCCAGGGGCTGTGGAAGCCGTGAAGCAAATGGCTAAGTTGGAAAAGTGAGTACACGTTCACAATTGTTCATGGGAGGGGGTCTGAGTGCAGCAGGGCGTTTGTGCTCTAGGCTTCTGCCGCTGGAGATCTGGTGGTTCAGATTCCGATGGGTGAAAATGAATGTGATCCTAGTGTCTGTTGCAAAGCCCTCACGTAGTTAGGTGCAGCTGTTAATCTGATGTACAGCCCCCTCTGCTGTTCCAGTTCTGGGACTTCTTTTAGGTGGGAATTGAACTGCATTGGCAGAGCTCTGGAGAGAGCACTTTTTGTTAGTAATAAATGCGCGCGTGCACACCCCCCCGCCCATAGATTCGTCAAAGCACTTGGCAAGACAGTCCGTCTTGGTTTGCTGGTTGTTAGTGAGCATAAACACCACATGAATGGAGATTTCCAGTTCTAATATCTAGGCCTCTCTGGGACCTGCCTGACCTCAGGTTTTGCCTATTCCTAAAGTAGGAGCCATAGTTTCAGCAGAGATTTTGCTAAGCAAGTTGTAGCACCCGAGCCCTCCTGGTGTCTGCCTTCCTAGTGCCCTCTCTTGGATGTGTGCCTGTGTTAGTTACCTCAATGCCCACTCGCCAGAAATGCTTTTTCGTGCAACCCTATTCAGTGTATGGCAGCGAGTTCCAGTCAGGGCCTGGTGTCTGTGTAGCAGCGACCAGACTATTTAGGGGTACGTCTTGGATCCTAGGGTGCTTTTAGATCTAGAAAGGGAATTAAATTGGTGCGTTTCCCCACTCGCGCTCTCTCTCTTTTCCCGGCAGCACTGACGTGTTCATCTGCACAAGCCCGATCAAGAAGTACCGTTACTGCGCTTATGAGAAGGTAACCAATGAGTGAGCTCTGTGAAATGGAGTGGGTGTGCTAGCCCTGGGTCTGGGGCAGGCAGACTGGGCCCCGAAGCACAAGTATCACCCATGGAATATACAATCTGTTGCTGGCCAGTGTGTTTCTCCAGCCCCACCCCCAATCACTGGAGAGCTCTTCAGTAGTAGCTGGTCAATCACACTGCAAGGTCAGCGCCTGAGTCTTGTGCTTCCCAAGTGATCCCAAAGCACTCTAAAGGCTATATATACCAGAACCACTTCGTTCACCTCTAGGAGGCAGCCACCTCTGAGATGGAATATGGCAGCTGTCTGACAGAGCACAGTGACGCTATGTAACAGTTTGGGACAGGAAGTGAAGTATATGCTCTCCAATTCAAACTGCAGGGGAAGTTTAGATAGGTAGAAAGCAATTACCCAAGGACCGGTTGGCAGGGCTAATCCTTGGTATCGTCAGTAACCACATATGAGAGTAGGGATAGCCTTGTGGCAAATGCCCAGGTCTGGGGAACCAGGACGCCTGCGTTCTAGTCCTAGCTCTGCCCCTCACTTGCTATGCTGCCTTAAGGAAGTCAGCTGACCTCAGTTTGCCCATCTGCAAAATGGGGGTGGATTCTTGCCTATCTCACAGGAGGCACTGCGGGCCTTAACTAATTACTGTTTGTGAAGTGTGCTGAACTCCTCGGGTGGAAGGTGCTATGGCAGGCAGACACTATGGTAATTATAAGCATGTGGGACCTTTCATCACAGTCCCGGAAACCATCGGTGGTTATAGCATGAGACATTTCTCAGGTGCTAGCAAGTGGAGAGCGAGCGGAACAAACAGGAGATCCACAGCTGGGACCATGTTGGATGCAAGTTGGAGGGAAATCCGTGTCCTTTCTGGGCCATTAATACTGTTACCCCTTTTGGCCCCAGCCGTTAGCTACAGTTAGGAACCCTGCAGGTTGTTTCTCTCAGGAGGAGACGATGTTGGAGTCAGGTATCTTTGTTTATAAGAATGTGCAAAGTCCTGTTCCCCATAACACAGTAGGAATCAAACAGCAGGAGACAGTTTCTTTGCTCTCAGCTCCAAGCCCCTTTCTCTAGCCAGTAACTCAGCTCAAAAGCTCTCCTCTTAGCTTTTTCTCAGGGCCACGCAGCCAATGCCTCTGGAGCTGTGTCTGGTGCTTCTTTGCTGCGTTCTTTCTCTGCTTCTCTGGTTCTTCTCTCTCCCACACAGGCACACCCCTCCATGGTCCACCAGGTAATACCCAGCGAAAAACCCTCCACTCACCCAGCTCAGCTCCCTGAGCGGCATCACAGCTAGTGACAAGTGCCTTTGGTTTGGTTTGAGGCCTCTATTGTTTCTTGCGTTCATCCCAAACCCAGGGTGGCTGCTACCCTCAGCAGTTTCACTGAGGTTTGTCCCAAACTCTAACAATGTACTTGGCAGGGTGTCTTCCCACCCCTGCCCCTAGAGCCTCCTGTTGTTCCTTACCTTTGTCTTTCGCTAGCAAACAAACGTCAAGCGCCCTGTGCCTGTGGCTGGTATTTGATGCTGCCTTTCAGCTGATCTGGGGCCATGCTGCAGCTGAAGCCAGCCTGCCCTACCTGCCACACTAACTGCGCCACCCCCTTGCTTTCCAGTACGCCTGGGTGGAGAAGCATTTTGGCCAAGAATTTCTGGAGCGGATTGTCCTAACGCGAGATAAAACTGTGATCTCTGGCGATCTGCTTATAGACGATAGACCAGATATAACAGGTACGGGAGATTGGACGCAGTAAAGGTAACCGTATGGTACTGCTGGGGCAGGTAGATTGGGGTTGTTCCCCTGCCTATGTGTTTTGTTTACTTTATGGAACTTTTTGGCTGATGCTGCATGCCTCATGCATGTCGGGCTCGAGGGCACCTGCTGTGCTCCCAGCTACGTTGGCTGTAATGTTTTTTCGGGCTGTTATTATTGAGCAAGAGTTGCCAAAACTCCTTGCACTGCTGATGCCTGCCAGAGATTGGATCGGCATTTTCTTAGAGCCCAGGGGTGTTTGGTTCTGGGTCAGCCCAGGGTGGAGAGAGGGTCTAGCAGGGAAATCCGGATTCAGAGCTGGGCCTCCCCACGGTGTGGATGGGCAAGTCTAGTGAGAAGGACAGTGGGCTGAGACTCAGGAGACCTAGGTTCAGTTTTTGGTTCAACCTCAGGCTCCCTATAGGACCTTGGGCAAGTCACTTAGAGGTTGTGTACATGGTACATTAGTCTGCACCTGCAAGGTGTCAATTCTAGTGCACACTAGCCTGTCACGCACTAACTGGCCCGTGCGGACCCTGCTGGTGCGCACTAACAGTTCCCTAGTGCACATTGATGTGGTCCCGTTTCAAACAGTACGGCGTTATTGTGCACTAGGGAACTGTTAGTGCACACCAGCAGGGTCCACACGGGACACACTAGTACACCCTAGAATTGACACCCTACTGGTGCAGACTAATTTACTGTGCAGAGAAGTCCCTAATCTTCCCTGTGCCTCCACTCCCCTGCCCATGACCTGGGGATCGCACTTCCCTACCTCCCCCAGGGCTGTGAGGATGAAGTCCGTTAGCAGCTGCGAGTTGTGAAGATACCACAGCAAGGAGGACCAGGGCCGTACCGAGCTAGATGGGGTGTGTTTGGATATGGGCTCATCTCTGATGAGATCGCAGGCTGCTGGAAGTGCGACACCAGCACACGGACCTAGTACCTGGCCCAGAGCCCCATGCAGGGTCATGATGGTGCTAGGAGGCCCCTCCCCTGAGCTGCTTTGCTCTCCCTGTCTTTCAGGAGCCGAGCCGAACCCCAGCTGGGAGCACGTTCTCTTCACAGCCTGTCACAATAAGCACCTGCAGCTGCAGCCCCCCAGCAGGAGGCTCCACTCGTGGGCCGAGGACTGGAGGGCGATCCTGGACAGCAAACGGCCACCACCCAGCCAGGCCATTTAAAGCGACAGGCTCCTGAGGCTGCCCCCTTAGCTGAATGGAGCGCTCTGTGGTGTCCAGCTCCGGGCTGAAACCCACAGACAGACAACCGTGCTGGGCAGAGTAAGGAGCGGGGCCCTGGCAGGGAGAACAGGGCCAAAGGGGGATCGTGTTCATTAAGCTAGAGGCCACTGGGCCATGTGTGACTGGGCCGCCATGAAGCAACAGAAGGATTCTGGGCCCATCCCACTACAGGAAGCCCTGTCTACCGTGTGTCTCTTTTGCGCCCAGCTCTGTTTATCTAAGTGGCATCTTAGTATTGGCGTCTGTAGCCACTGGTGACCCCAAATGTAGCGTCTCCGATGGACTCACCTCTCCGCTTGTTACCCGGCGTCCCCTGGACCCGCTTAGTGGTGCAGATTAACTTTTAAATACGCCCCCATCTGCATTGAGTTGGAACACTGGATCAGCAGTCAGTACTGTCCTAGGGTTTGCCCTAGAGGACTGTCAAAATCCTTCTTCCTCCACCCATCCAGACGCAGAGGAGCGGTCTTCCCTTCCCTCAGTCCCCAGCCCAGCTCTTCTTCGTTCTTTGGCTCACCTGCTGTCACCACTCCAAGGGGAGCATCTTCCTGCAGCAGCGTTTGCTTTTCCTCACAGCTGTGAATGTGCCTGCCGGGACTGCCTTGCAGGAGTGCATGGGGGAGCATTGTTAAACCAGGTGCAAATCAGGGTCACGTTACTGATTGGAGGACTGGGGCAACCCCACTTCGATCATCGGGGACCCGCATCAGCTCTGCTACTCTGAGAGGCTCAAACTGATTTTGGCTGTAACCCGGCAGCACCGTCTTTAGAAAGAGCTCGGATGGCAGCCGTGCATTGGCGGGGGTCACTGGAGGGGGAGATGAGCTTTCACAACTTCTCCCTCATTCCAGACGAGTGAGGCAACGGCTCTGGCCCAACATTTACTTCCCCTATAGATCAGAGGTGGTGGAACAAGCCACACCCCCTGGCTTGAAGTGGTTTCCATTGTACACAGGGTTTACAGTTCAGTTCAATGGCCACCACTATAAAAATTGTTCCAGGGCCCCTGCAATAGATAAGAGATTGGGGAGCCCCTAATTAGCTTGAAGTTATCCATGGGCTATCACTTCCCCTCCCCCCACAGTGGTTTTGGAGGCTCTTCTCCCCTACTCAAGACATAACTCCTGGGATGGTTGGGGTACTTCATCACAGCTGTTAACTCCAGAGTGCAGCCCCTTGACTTGAGATGGTCCGTGTCACACGGCTGGCCGGCCTCTCGCAGCTGTGCGGCACATCAGGGATCATTGTTCAGCCCAAGCACCAACAAGTGGCTCTGCCATCCCATTAATCCTTTCCCCAGAGGCTGGCTATTCGGAATGGGGCAAGCTAATGGGGCTGAGAAGAGAGAGGTGGATAAAATAGGCATGGTCTAGCCCGAGAGGTGCGGTTAACAGCCCGAGCACAGGATGGGGAGCCAGGAACTCATGGGTTTTCGTCCTGGCTCTTCCACTGATCCCCTCTCTAGTTACAGGCAAATCACTTTGCCTCCCTGTGCCCCCGCTTGTATAATGGAGATGTCAATACCTCTCGGGGTGACGAGGGGCTGGAACAACAGCCAGCGTCTAAATCTTTGAGGTGTGTAGGCTATTTCCTACGCACATTGGGAAGGGGGGGGGGAGGGGAGGAGCTACGCTAAAAGACATTGCGGTAGCCACAGTTCATCACCGGGTGCCCGAGTGTACTCTTTGGGACTGAAATATCGACCAGCAGCAGAGTTCGGAGGGCCCAGTGACCGTACGCATTGATAAAGCCAGAGCCTGGGTGGGCCTCAGCATTGGAGTTCCACAGCAGAATGGACAGAACCTGCCATTGCAGTTGGAAGAACCAAAAGCTCAAGGCTGCGCTAGTTGGTACCTCTCCTCCCTCCATCAGACATCCAGAGAGCAGAGGGCCCTGCCAACACCACAGACCTTTACTACAGACCTGCTGCTTCAGAGAGGGGCTTCGTTAAGTGGTGCAGAGCGATCTCGGAAGCCCCTTCCCTCTGCCAGGCTCATCCTGCTCTGTGTCCGGAGCATAGATTACCACTCCTGAGACCCACGGGCATTGCCTCCTGCCAGCGGAGTCCGGCTGGCCAGCCTGCACATTCCATGCGATACTCCTGGCAGTGAAAAGGAGAACCTCCCCCCACCCCCCAGGAATGGGACCTGTGGGTTCCCCTAAGCTAAAGGCTCCCAGGCAGGAGGGCAGCCAGGTGTTTGCAACTCTTGGCCCTTTGCCTGCAGCAATCACTCTTCCTGCGATCAATCTTCGCACATTTGGATTCCCCACCTCTCTCCTTAGCAAGGCTGTGAAAAGCAGGTAAAGCCCGAATGGTGCATGAATAAACTGTGTCACTGATTACTGCGCAGTTGGCGTCAGCGCGTACCAAGGTCTCTAGGACCTGGACGTTGCACTGAACAAAGATGATGCTTCAGGATTTTGCCCTTCCTCAGCTTTTACCGCTGGGGCCAAACCCTAAGCTGTCGTGGGGAGCCATAACTGCCGCTCTCCTTGGATTGCGAACGCTCACGTCTCCTGGGGTTTGGGCCCCTGTCTACAATGGGAGTTCTGCCTGCCTGAGGGAGGGCTGCAGGATTAGGTCCAGCTTCTGTGTGTTACAGACTGGAAGGGCTGTCTTAAAATTTAAACCACTGTGTACGCTCTTGGGGTGACCAGCCTGGGGCCCAGCGAGGTTGAGCGGAGAATAGTCTGGTTTTACAATAACTTCTTGGGATTCAAGGCTTTGAATCCTGAACTGCTGAGAGAGATCTAGACAGCTGCTGCTCAGTCCGAGCAGTCATTTATCAGCGACGTGCGGCAGACGAGCGTAGCTGGTGGTACCTCGCCCTCCAAGGGCATTACATTTTTTTCAGCACTGTGTTTGTTTTGTTAATTGTCCCAGTTCTCCCTCTCAGTCCCATCCACACCTCTGGGCAATGCTGTTATCAGGAAGGGGGTTCTAGGGGGAGGATAGAGCTAACCGGAGTGACAGCTGCTATTCAGCATTAGGGCCCTAGCAGAGGCTGGATTGGATGTTGTGCTAGGCTGGGAGTGTGACGTTGCTTTCTCCTTGGTTGGTTATTTTTTCCACTTTTGAGGACATAATATTAAGAGTGAAATCAGAAAAGCTGGTTCAGGTTGGTCCTGTCTTACAGCGACGGCACTTGGAAGAGGAAGATGTTTCCAGGGCTAACCGCCCTGTTCGTCTTCTCTCTCACACCCACCCACCCCTGGCTATAAGCTGAACTGTTTGGACCATATCCTCGGGTGTGTAAATCAGCATAGCCAGTGAGGTTAGGGGAACAAGGCCAGTTTACACCAGCTGAGGATCTGGTCTTTAAAATGGTTACACTGGTTCTGTTGCTCAACTGAGATGCAGAGAAGTATTTTTTTTTTTAGATTTACAGTGTATAACAGATCCACCCAGGATCCTTGCACTAAATATTCAATTTTGTTGTCATTGCAGTTTATATGAAATAGGGTTTTAATATTCCTGGCACCATACTAACCGTAATAGAGGGGCGATTTTACCTCCAGGGCTCCGATTACTCTGAAGAAGGGTCATGTGGTACTAGCAACACGCCACCGACCACTGCTGCTTTCTTTTGGCAACTACATCCTAGCCCATTCGATGGAATCCCTGTGAACGGAAATAGGGCTGGTAGGAGGCTATGATTTCTGTCCAGCATCTTGCAAATATGACTGGCAGTAAACTAACCAGTAAAAGGCATTACGCCGGGGACGATCGCTCCAGAGCACGGCCGAGCGAAAAGCACTAGAAAGCCACGTCCCGTTATGTCAGAGAGGTACGTATCATACAACAGGGAGGTAGGCAATGCAATCTCCTGGTTACATTACAGAGTTGGTTGTCAGAACTCCTGGGTTGTCTTCCTAGTTCTGTCTGTCTGTCTAGGGTTTGGTACTTTGCCCATTTCTGGGATATCTGAGCATCTCTGCCACAGACTCGCCAGGTGACCTTAAGCAAATTACTTACCCATTCTGTGCCTCAGTTTCCTCATCTGTAAAATTCGGCTAATCCCACCTACTTCACAGGGGTGCTGTGAGGAGGAGTTGGACAACGTCATGCGCCTTGAGAGCCCCAGTCAGAACATGCTCTGTAATTTACCATTAACGATCAGCTCCCTGTCGGATAGGCACAGGAATCAAATTGGGGCAGGATGACCGTTTTGGGGGGCCCAATCCAAGGATGTTGTGAAAATGCTTATCTTTACAGCAAATGCTTCTCGGTTCCCTGGACATCAACAGAGATGGGTCAGGACCAGACCATCTGCCCCCGTCCAAATCCAGAGATGTTGGGTTGTCTCATTTCTAGTCACCAGTGTTGGGTGGGTGGATGGGTGTATAACATATTGTGTGTATCCTACGGGGCATCTACTGGATACAGCTGCCATACATGGAGAGACTGAGTGGGCGAAACATCCTCTTTTACTCATTCCTACTGAAATGAGGAAACATGACAGGTGGTGGCCATCTGGGCCAGTCTGGCACATCCCAGGGAGTGCTAAGGAGCGAGGCCAGAATCTGGAAGGTTTTAGCTGCCTGAAAAATACAGCATGAACCTGATCCCAAGCCGGTGGTGGAAACATATGGAGGGACTTGCCTCAGGGCCTAGCCGCTCAGCGAGGCACCAGAGAGTCTGTCGCACACGATGAGAAATGGGATTTACTTGTAAAACTAAAGGGTAGAAGTTCAGCTCTGGGGTGAGTTGGTGGTTGTTCCGCTCCCAGGCTGACAGGGCACTGAGCATTAGCCCTTGTGTTGATTTGACTGAATTGGAGGAAGAGCAAGAGGACGGGGGAGCTCTCCTTCAGGGTGTCCTGGTCAATGGACCCCCATCCTGGCAGTTATCAAACAGTTATTCTCCAAAGGTTGGTGGGTCTCAGTCCCGATGGTCAAGTGTCCACATCACATCAGCACTACTGACACTTAACCGCTCCCCTGTTAGCAGGCGCCGAGGCTTGAATGGCCCCCGGGGACCGAACTCCCTTCACCCATCGTGTCGGTAGCCAAGATTGAGGTGGCAGCGTGGAGGACGGATGCATTAGTGCTGTGGCTAGATATCCGATCCCAGCCATCACGGCTTTCAGTGCAGCGCTAAATTCACTTTAAAGAGAAAATTAAATTTGAGAGAGAGCTTTTTGCTCTTCAGGCTCAGCATCCCTAATTAAATAGAACAAGTAATGAGATTAAAACGAGGTTAGTCAGTTCGCAGGGGAGCAGAGATACCGGCGCAGAGATAGTGGAATTGAGGGCATGTAGCCGAGGGCTGATTAACCCGTTTTAGCTTTGAGAAGTATGTTCCTGGGCATTACCAGCACTTGGTTATAACCAGCTAGCTCCAGTGACTGCTTCCAGGTCCCTGTTTTGAGGGCCAGATTCTGCTCTCGCACCAGGGTAAGGAGTATCCCCTGAAGGCAGTAGTACTGCAGGGGTGTAAAATAAGTGGGGAAGTCAGGATCAGGCTCCATGGCTCTGATTCTTATCTCCCATACACTGGTGTCGGTCACTGTAGTAAATGGAGTGGCACTGCAGGAGGTGAGATCAGAATGCTTCAAATCAAAGCCAGCTAGCCAAGCAATGAGGCCCCACTGTAGGGCCCATGGGCGTATGCAGGTGTCTTGCCTTGGTTATGTTGGGATTTGTCAGTTTCATGTTTTGGGGCTGTGAGAAATGATATACAAGGGATGTGAAAACAAAAGTATGGAAAGAGACTGTGTCTGTTGATGAATGGATGCATGTACCTGTGGCCGTGCGGCAGACAACTAGACACAATAAACAGATAAACCTGGATCTTGTTGTGTATCAACCACCTTACACTATGGGATGTAGAGGGGACAGGAGTGCAAAGGCGCCTCTAGGATGCTCAAGTCCAGCCCTTCCCAAGGAGCAGGAAAGACTAATCCTGTCCTTTAGATGGGCCAAATCTTTTTTAGTGCATGGGAGAGATGAGGGGAGAGATGTGGAGCAAAAGGGACAAGCCCCTCTTGTCATACATGGACCTGAACCTCTTGGGGCAACTTGAACCCTGGTGTAAGCAGGTGCAGCGCCCATTGTCCTTTGTGGCAGTTGTGCCTGCTTTTGCTGGGACCCGATCTGCCCCACAGCTCAGAGTGCTGTGCTATCCCATCGGCCCCAGCTTCTGCCAGCCACAAGAAACCTGCGGTGCTCACGAGTTTCACAGGGTCAGATCCTGAGCTGCTGTAAGTTGGATGTCAGCGCATTTACACCCGCTGAGGAGCTGGCTTAGGCAAGCCTGTTCTGCAGAGTGCGTGCAAATAAAGGTTTCCAGGAATCCTTAATAGTTCTTAATCCTTCCTCCCAAGCCTTCCCTGCTACCTCCTTCAAGGTGGACAACACCACCATCCCTGCCTGTCACTCAGGGGTGTAACCTGAGCATCACCTTCAGCTAGGGTGACCAGATGGGATGAAGAAAATATCGGGACACATTGGGGGGGGGGGAAGAGGGGCCTCCTGCCGGCGGAGCAAAAAAAAAAAAAAAAAAAAAACCAGGAGTGCAAAATATCGGGACAAATTGCGTCCCGACCAGACATTGGTCGGGACGCAGGACAAACGCCTAAATATCGGGACAGTCCCAATTTTATCGGGACATCTGGTCACCCTACCTTCAGCTCAGACCTCTCTCTAGGTCCTCACTTTCAGGTTGTCTAAACCTTGCCAGGTCTTTCTGCATTACATTTCTCAGACCTTGTCTACACTTGCAGCGGCACGTAGGGGACACGTGGCTACACGCTGCAGTAAAAGGCAGGCTGCTTCCACACTTGTAACTACAGCGTAGCTACCCACGGCGGTGAAAGGCTCTGGCAGGGGGAGGCGGTGGGGAAAGGCTCTGGCAGCAGGGAGACAGTAGGACATTAAAATAGCAGTGTGGACGTGGGAGGCACGGCTTGGGTGTGTAGAGAGCTGTAGGGCATATACTCTAGCAGGGCTCAGGCATGTAGGGCACTCGACTCACCTAAGCTGTCTCACCATCTACACGGCTCTTTTTACCATGCTAGCTGGGTGTGCAGCGTCTGTACTCTACATGCCGGTGTAAGTGTAGATGTACCTTAAGATACGGTCTTTTCTATCCATCCAGACAGCCAGAAGAAACGTCTCAGCCACTGCAACACCATCTCTCTGACCTTGACAAATGCCACCTTGCCCTACTTGTATCCATTGGTGCAGGGACCACTCTCCTAGCCGGCCACTTTGACCAGGTCACCCCCTCTCTTTGCAGCCCTCCACTACCGCCCCCTTCTGCATCGCATCAAACATAAGCTGCTTGTCTGGACTTTCAAGGCCCTTCCCCGCCCTACCTACCTTCAAGGCCCTTTCAAGGCCCTTCTCATTGACTGCTGAGAGGTTGATTCCCAACTCTGCTCAACCCAGGCCAGCCTTTAGTGGCCTCTCATTCCGTTTTCAAACAAGCATCTTCATGCTTTCTCCCCTGCTGCCCTCTTGCTTGGGAGGAGCTCCCTGTAAACCTCTGCATAGCTACTTCCTTATCTTCCTTAGAACTCTCGTTTTCTGTGCTGCCTACATAAACACTCGCCAGTGCCTAGGCTGCTTGCGAGCTGAAAACCACATCCCAGGGGCGGGTAGTTATTTTTTGTCAAGGTCCAAATTTCTTGGTCAAGGTCCAGACTCCAGAGAAGAAAATAAAAAAAAACCCCAACAACATGGGCGGCGGGTGAACGAGCCGTTGGGGGAGGCTAGCCCCTGGCCCCTCCTCCTGTGCCCAAGGCCCCATCCCTCCCCTTCTGCTCCCCCCTGAGCCAAAAGCACACACCCTCGTGGCCGCTGGCCCCCCTGTGCGCCCCCAGCCCCAGCGCGCCAGGTGGGCAGCCCAGCCCCAGCGTCCCCAGCCCCGGAGCACCAGGCGGGTGGCGTGGCCAGAGCACCCACTACCCCAGCGCCGGGCGGTGGGCCTTTTGAGCGCCGGCCCCAGCCTCTCAGCCATGGAAGAGCGCCGGGAAGGGAACTGGAAGCAGGCAGGGGAGGCCTGGGGGTGGAGCATGGGTGGGGCCTCACCAGGCTGTTTGGGAAGGAACAGCCTTCCCAGGCCAATGATACCCACCGCCCATGCCCAACAGTAATGATAATAAGTAAATAAAAAGATTTCGGGGTCCATTCAAAAGCATCTGGCGGTCCGG